AATAAACAGACAATGAGGGAGGGGCTTTAATGGCATTTGCTGACTTGAAGGGGGGGTTTAAACACAAAATTGATGAAGTATGTATAACATATAATATCAATGTTTTTTTTATTTTTATACATTTCTTATCAATGATCATTTTAAACAACAACTTTACTTTTCTTTTTTTCCTCAATGTCAGAAGGGTGGCTCGAAAAAATATTGCGAATTTTCCCAAGGTTTTTTCGACTTTCCTCTAAACCAACCTGAGGCATATTTAATGAACAGTCCCTTAACAGCGGTTGACCGCTAAATAGAGGAGCACTTGTGAGTAATTCAACCTTCTACTTGAACTTACATTCATACATAAAGTACGAGGCAAACATGTTCGCCTACCGGTACCCGTACACAGAAATATCACTCGCGTTAGAAAGGCAATTGAAAATAATTCAAAACGTTAATCAATTGGGTTAGTGAGGATGAACATAGCGTTTTCTTCTTCTTTTTTATGGATATCCATTTCTAAGAAAATTGAGCATAGTCCATATTATGACTCGCGGGAAACCTTGTGGCGCTATGCATTTCGGGAAGGATAAACAAGTGAATAACAAATGAATGAGTACACAACCGAGCAAAATAGCGGCGAAAGCAAACGTGTTTTGTCTGAAAAAACCGATACTTTGCCGGATTTTACATTTTTAGCGACTTCTTTTTAAAAAGGAAGAAGATTGATATCCCGCCACGATATATTCAAAATTGCAGGCTTGTGATATAGACTATGCTGAACTACTAGAATGAATGCCGGTCAGGCTCAAGAATGTCAATGTTATCCAGGACCAAATGAAGTCTATAGAGCGTAAAAATGACAATTCAAACAATAGAGTAGTTGAATCAAGGGCATTATGCTCTGATACTTGTCGGCGGCAACTGGATGTTCGCAAAAAAAAATACTCGCCCGAGAACGCAGTTTGTTGCTCAACAACAAAATTTTCTGATGCGGCGGGCTCTATGCACTGATAGTACCCACCCGCACTATCGCATCACGTGATCGACTTTTAACCTTTGAGAGCGGATGAAAATTTGTTGTTGAATTGTATAAACTGGTTTATTATACGTGAGGGAAAACACTAATGGAATAACATAGTCGATAGTCTAGTCTCTCTCAATCGGGTATAATGGTTTTTAGAACACTTTCTGAGGTAATTCCATCTCGACGTTTTTTTCGACAAGCTCACAACCTGCCAACACTTGTTTTAAAATACACCTCCAACAAGGCATTGCATTGTACATAYATAAATATCGATTGCTGTAAATATCGAATGCCATATTACATGTTCATAAAATTAAAAGTTTGTAAAATCATCCATGACAAAGTGAAAGATGAATTGTGTGATATTATGTTACTTTGGCGAAAAGAGTTATGGATTGTGTGACAAAAATACGTGGTACTGAATCGAGTGACACCACAAATGTAGAAAATAAGCGCGAAAATGACCTGCGTTGATCCACTCTGCTGCGACAATGCGAGAATTGATTGCTTTACATCGTGACTACGATGTGACTATGGATTGCGTTACAGTATTGGTTCACTTCCATTCCAGTCCACCGTTGCTTTTTTCCATCTGCATTGGAATAANTACCTTGTTCTGATGACATGTTCAAGCGGAGGTACCAAATCTCCATCTTCCGATTCTGGGCACTCAGTAGTAGTATCTGTTTATTCATTGAAACACAATTTAKTATGTTTCACTAAAAGTTCCGAAGCCCTTTTCAAACGTCAAATACTGTATGTGCGGAATCCAGTGCAAATGATTATGGTATGAAACAATAGACCAATCCCGCATTCGCTTGRATGAACACGAAACAAGGGCTTCATTTCGAGGCTGAAGTTTTATCTTTTGTCGAAAACTCCAGCCTCGAAATGAAGCCATTGTTTCGTGTTTATCCAAGCTAATTCGGGATTGCATTGCATTTTAGACCGATTAAGAAGTGGACGTTTGAGTGGGCCTGACACAACGTATACCCAAACTTTGAGCAAAACTCGGGTTAAATATATCAACTCCAATGGAAATCTTGAAGCGAACACTACATCATGATCGGTTAGTACTATAAATTTTTCAACGAAAACCCATTTTCAATGACGTCAGACAGCCTGACAAATCTGACTTACCCCTCCCCTCGTAGTGTATACTGACCTGCATTGTACATACCTACGGTTAGTCTTATTTCATCTTCTTGTCTTGATAGACCATCATAATAGTATAAGTCAAACTTCTTTTTACGTTCCCTTAAAAAATATAAAAAATGAAATTGTTCTAGACTCCTCCGCAGGCTTCAGACAGTTTGTTCCCAGACTTCCAAAAGAGTGAGAGAGAGATAGAAATGTTTTGTCAAAAGCTCATTTGCCTTAATTCATGAAATTGGTGTGTGTGTTATTTTTTCGTACCAGTTTTCAAGGAGCAGTCTTTCTGTAGAAAACATCACACTGAAATGACTCTCGCTACATATCACCCATATTGGGAATTTAGGAGTTTTGTAGTATGTCCCAACCTAAACAAACAGAAAGCAAAGAGTGATTGTAATGTAGCATCACAACTCTTAGGTCGCTSACAAGACCAGTCAATTTAGAGATAATCCATGCATTTTGTAGAGATTTTTCGGCAATTTCTCAAGTTTTCCATTATAACTAATGCGTGGAATTTAGAACAAAATTGTCTTTGGCTCTAGTCAGTCAGTTATGAAAAAAGCGAAAACGCCCATATTTGAACGATAAAAATGATAATGTTAGTTTTTATATTAACCTGACAAGAACCGTAGTGTTCAAATAACGATAAAAGACCGACTTCTGCTTGCTTTTCTAGACCCTTAAGCACAACCTGTACATACAAAAACAAAACAAAACAACAAAAAACAGGCATGATAAGTAATTGAAGGCATGTTCTATAGATCATGATCTACAAACTCTGGAATAACAGATATTTGTTGTGTATATACTTACAACATTCGCGCCTCCAGAATCCAATTCTATTGTATTATCAAATGCATTTGACGTTGCCTTCCCTATAGTTATAAGATTGACCATTTCCTGGAAAACATGAAATATATATATATTGACTTTTCGCCATCTCTAAATGTGTTCCTATAACCGAGTTTCCTTCGCGGTTCCCCGCACCATCTTGAAA